TCCCTCAGCAGATGAAATGTCATGAAACTTTGATTTAGGTATATTTCACTAATTTTCCATGTGGCAAAAACAGGAGCATTTTCCATGTTGATGTTTATAAACTGTAAATTTTTTTAGCGAGGTGAAATAAAGCAAGGAAAAATACAGTCAACTTTTACTTAGCCTTCAAGTAATCCAAAGGTTTGTGGCGGAAGTTAAACCCTTCACACTAATTTCCTTTCTGTGATTCATTTAAAAATGTTTAAAAGAATTGCAACATACCTTGCTTTACATCAGACATAATAAATATTGTTTCTCACACTGAATAAACATATTTCACTCTTTATTTTTCTTCCAGGTATCTGATTTTGAAAGCTTTGTTGGCTCTCTAAATGACCAGGGTTATCTTTTGAAAAAAGGTCCAAGAGTTTATCAACTTCAAACTATGTGAAGGAACCACCACAATGGAAGCAAATGTTCTTGAGGCACAGTAATCCTTTTTGAAATGGAGTAACTGGTGGACATGGTGCAACAGGAATCCATTACCCTATAACCTGCAGTCTACTAAGGATATTCCGAAATGTTATACATCTCCAAAGCTTCTATTAGCTGAGACATGACACTCCCAGAAGAACTGCCCTTTTAAAAGCAATACTTTCAGGAATGAGTGACACTAACATATTTACTTCCAGAAGTGTTAACAGAGAAGATGATATTTTGTGCTGCCATTTGGAGGTACTGTAGTTCAAATAAGAGTTATTTGAGACGAGGATCTCCATCATCAAAGATAATAGCAAGAGGAGAATGTGTATTTACATTCATCCTATCAAAGGACAATCATAGATTTTACTTCTAGCTCAAATAACTCATGATGCCTGGTGTTACTTTTAAAATGAATAGAAATGTTACGGAAAGTATTTTCTCAATCAGAAATGGTAATATTGAAAAGATTTGAGAGTAACCCAGATTTTAGCAGTGTAATTAAATCAATTAAATAGCTTTAGCACTATTTTGAAATGTTTTCAAGAAATTGATAACTTTTTCATGCTGAGGCTCCATGCAATGTATAGTTTTAAGGAACGTGGTATTTAATTGAAATAAATTTAATTTGTTTATTTGAAGTTTCACTTTTGCAGCTTACTATTTAAAGAGCTGTATACAGTACTTGAGCTTTTATTTAAAATGTTAATCTGAAAAAATCAAACTCTAGTTGTACATATTAAATATTATAGAAGTGAAATAGAATGTGTTTATATACATACTTCATTTAAAATCTATTAACTTGTTGATTGAATCCCAAATTTGTCTTTAAATGATATTAAATACTTAATAGCATGGAAATTTAAAGCAATTTTGTCAAATATAATGTACATTTTGTGCATTAATTTGTATTATTCCTGATATATGTTAAACTGACTTAAATAAGGACATTCAACAAAAGTGAAACAATGTGTGTGTGTATATATAAGATCTGCTGCTTTGATGCCTGGTAATCCAGTTTTTTCCTAAAGTAATTCTTCCCATAATACAAATGCAAGATGGCGAACATGTCTGAAATGCTATATATTGAGGTCACTATGAAGATGATGATGATTTTATCAGAAAAGTGAATATGAAGGCTTTCTGTTTTAAGACTTTTGGTTCTGATCTTTTCCATCTTTTTCTGTGTTGAGGCAGATTATTCCTTATTTAAGAGGAAGCATTGGTTTTTAAACAAATTCAAAGGGGGGGAGAGAGAGCTCAGTGGTTTGAGCATTCGCCTGCTAAACCTAGGGTTGTGAGTTCAATCCTTGAGGGGGCCACTTAGGGATCTGGGGCAAAAATCAGTACTTGGTCCTGCTAGTGAAGGCAGGGGGCTGGACTAGACGACCTTTCAAGGTCCCTTCCAGTTCTAGGAGATAGGATATGTCCATTAATTTATTATTTATTTATTTTCTTTAAACATAATTTGAGGAAAGTTGAGTCCTGTGCCTCTGAAGTTCTGTGCCTTGAGATGAAATCCCAGAGTGTGAAAGAGAGATTTAGGATCCTCTCACCAGCAAACAGTTTAAAGCCCCGATCCTGCAAAGGGATCCAACCGAGCAGTTCCTTTACTAACATGGGAAATCAATGGAATTATTTGTAGGTATAAGGATCTATCCATTAGGAACTCTTCTTAGGATCATGACCTAACAGCAAAAAGGCAAATGAGAGGTAATTCAGGTATAGGTCTTCATTTAAAAAACAAAACACCAACAACATGTTTTTATGACATTTTATTTACTTGAATCTAAAACTGGAAATCCTGATTGTTCTGCTTTCTATTTATTGTGTATGACAATTCCCTAGTGCTAAAGAATCCTTGTGCAGTATATTGACTGCATTGACTATCTAGTTCAAGATTTGACTGAAGACATATTTGATCTTCAGTTATCAAATACCTTAATATTTTCTGGGTCTGTAAAATTAATCTGCTCAAAAAACTACACCATTCTTATAGCCAGTTTTTCATACTGATTTTTTTTGGTTTGGTTTTAGAGAGGCTACTTATTTCTGTAGAAGCTTCTATTGGCTTTGGTCATCTAGCTGTTAACACAAATGTACTGTAATTTTTCTGTAGCCTACCCTATGCTTGAATTGTCCATGATGTAATTCAGAAACTGCTTTATCAACTGTGGAATAGTTAATGAAGGGGTAAAAACCGTACATGAGTTCATTAAAGGTTGAGTATTTGTTTGCAAAAGGGAGGGGGTGATGAAGAGATGCAGCAAATGGCTCCCTAAGAGTACTCAAAGCATAATTATTTTTACACCAGCATATGGACTATGATCTGTCAGTGAGTCCATTTAAAGTGACCATATGGCCTGTTCCATCTGATGATTAACTTGTGGATTTCTGGAACACATTTTATGAATCTTGGGAGGACTCATAGTTTTTGCATAGTGCAGATCTATTTTCTTAGTAGCTAAATGAGCTATTAGTGACTTTCTTTTTGTGCAGTAATAGGACTGTAGATGAAAATGCACAGATTTTGAACTATGCAATCTACATTTGTCCAACTTCATTTTGTACTACTTTCCCAGCCCCTCCTGCTTGAGCAAAAGTGATGGAAGTCTG